TCATCAATTTTTTTCATAAATTAGTTTTGTCATCAAAGTACATATTTTCTAAATTCTAAATTTTATTGAATATTTTTCATCTAAGTATGTTTGATTACAATCTTGGATAAGTTACAAATTAGGTCAAAATTCTTATTCATGGTGAGATGGAATTTAAAGACTATCTAGTTTATTTTAATATTGTTTTGCAGCCGCTAGTTTAAATGTTGAAGCTTATTGTCAGGTGTTTTCTTTCCATTTACTGTCTTTATTTTTCTCATTGCATGATTGTTTTGCATTAAGGACAATGCATGATTTAAGTTGGGAGGTAAGTGTTACATCACCATATGCAACCACCATGTCCATATACTTTTAAAAAAAAAATTTGAAAATTTGAAAAAAAAAATTAAAATTAAAATAACAACAAAAACAAAACATTCAATTTGGATTATATTATTCTCTCTTAATTAGGATAAGATTTTTTATTATTTAACTTGAATCTTGAGTTTAGGGGTGTTGAAATTTTCGATTACCTGCAATTTTTTATCCTGCCTGATCCTACCCAACCCTATTAATCAGTTAATCAAAAAAATCAGGTAGGAATGCAAAAGAATTTTTTGTCTTTTGATTAAATTAGGTAGGAATGCAGAATATATATATAAACTAAAAACCCTAAGTTCATAACGCCTCGTCGCCTCCTTATCTCACCTCTCTTGTCTCTTAATCTCGCCTCTCTCACCTAAAGTTCATAGTATGTGATTTCTGATTTTTCTGAGATTTTACAGTATATGATTTGTCAGATTTTGTATATAATTTTCTAGATTTTGTATATAATTTTCTAAGAATCTAAATTATAGAATATGATTTCTAAATTGTTATCATAGTTGTTTTAAGTTTTAGTGTTATTGGTTTATTATGTTGTAAAATTAGTACAAGTTACTTAATTGAATTGTTAAAATAATTAAAAAATTAATAACTATAAAACATGTTCACCGGATTTCCTACCCAATTAATTTGGACGAAATTCGGGTAAGAATTCTACACTTGATCGGGTAAGGTAGGCCAAAAAAAATTTCTTCCGCGAAGTATCGGGATAGGAAGATGGAAAACCATATGTCCTACCTGTAGAATAGGGTGAACACCCCTACTTGAGTTATTTGAATATAGGGTTGACAGCCAAACAAGCTCGAGTCAAGCCTAAAAAATTTGTTTTCTTATCAGTCGAACAAGGTCGAATCTAAGCTCCTCTATGTTAATAGTTTGTTTTCGACAAGCTTGATTTGTTTATGTGCAAATATTTGGGTTTGACTCGTTTAAGTTTGGTCATTTAGAAAATGAGCCGAGCTTGAATGAGCCAAAAATCAGTCGAACCTGAGCCAAGCTCAACCAGTCTGGTTCGATTAGCTGCCTTATTTGCATATTAGCACTATATAGGAATTATTTTATATTTAAGTATTATGTGCATGATTTCTTTTGAAACTCAAATTTTTGTATACCATGATCATGTTAAATTTTGTAATTTAGTGAATGAGATTCACATCTTAAAGAGCTTGACATTTATGCCAATTGACATCATCAGGCTAACGAAATAGGTTCTACCGGTTCATCTTTTCGTCTATTAGTTTACTGCAAACTAAAGAGGAGTTGTACAGGTTCGTCTATATTTTTGAACTAGTTCAAGTGGTAAAAATTCAGAAAACAAGATTTTTATTGGTCAAATTTTATAGATATTTTCGGAGATTTTCTCAGAATGAAAGAAAGACGTAAAGAAGGAAGGAGAGGATCTCTCTCATCAGTCGTCTCTCTCTCTCTCTCTCTCTCTCTCTCTCTCTCTCTCGTTTTCTTTAAAAAGCTGAATTTGGGGTAGGATCAAGAGAGTTCTTCTTGTAATGTTTTTTTTAGGGCACTTCTTCATCGTTTTTCTTTTAGGGTTTATTTTTCGTTTCTTTTTCAGCAAAACATAAAATAAGTTTATCATCTTGTCTTCTTGTTTTACCATTCGTTCTTGTTTAGATTCAAAGTATTGGTTTTAAATTTTGTTTTGAATATAGTTTCGCTTTCTATTCAATAATTATGTCCTTTATACTTGCTTTAAATTTAATCCATATTATGTGTGAGTTGTTTAATTTTGGCACAATCGGAGACATAGGAAATAAATAAGAGAATACTAAAAATTTGAGCCATAAAATTTCTCAATTTTGATACAGGGTACTTATTAGATCGAATAAGTGCATTCAATTTAATAGAATGATTTTACCGTATCCAGACTAACATCAATCCAACCCATTTCATGAATAAAATGTGATCAATTAACCAACCAACTAAACTACTTGTTACAAATAACATTTTGTTGTTGTATCGAAACATATAAATGTTGACTAATCTGGTTGGTAAAATTACAATTCTTTCATAAATTAGTTTTGTTGTCAAAGTACAAATTTTTTAAATTCTGAATTTTATTGAATATGCTCCATCTAAGTGAGTTTGATTAAAATCTTGGATGAGGTATAAATTCTGTCAAAATTCTTATTCACTGTGCAATGAAATCTAAAGATTATCTGATCAAATATAAAATTCGAACGTCCAAAAAAATTTATCTCACTATATTAAATAATAATTTTTCTTTCCTTCATTTTTTTGATTATATTATTTAAAATTTATGTTTATCCATTATTTTCTTAAAAATATCGACAATTTTTTTTCAAAATACGTAATTCGATAAAATTTTCTCAACATATGTATACTGTAGTGCATGGATAATGTTTGAAATAAAAATTATATTAAAATATAAGTTAATAAAATATTAAAATAATTGGACATGTGATAAAAATGATTGATATGATGTTTTTTGGAAAAAAAATGTGTAGGAGATAAAATTCAATTTGTGAGTTATCTTATTATATAGATTTTTTTTTTTAGTTTTTACCAATTTTAATCATCTTTGAACACCAATCTTTTTTTTTTTTTGAATCATATCACCTTTTAGAATTTGTCCTAGTTTTTCCCGAGGAGATGACCTCAGTATTTTTTGAGTTACTATACGATTAATTTTTTTATGCTTGAAATGCAGTTTCATATTTGCCACATTAAAGGACAAGTATTTAGTATGAAAGGCACTAAGAAACAAGACAAAAAAGACTCATCTGAACACACTCATGGAAAAATTACTTAGATGGCTTACCCCACAATTTTTACAAAAATAGAAATTCCAAAAGTGAGGTCAGTAGGGATGTGATCAGTTGGATCAATCGCAGTAAGAATGCGGAACATTTGCAGACAACAAAAGAGAGTGTGTTGTCTTCATAATCTGTCTATTTGTACTCCACTACATCATTTTGTTAAAGTGTTCCAAAAAGTACCACCAGATTTTAAAAATCCCGAAAAGAATTAAAAAAAAATATTCTCCTATGAATCACATCGAAAATAATTAATAACAAAGGATATTGGATGCGTATCATGTCACAAAAGCAACGAATATAGGAAAAAAAATATTAAGATAATGTTTCATTAGATATAACCAACAGTACATTATATAATCATTAAAAAAAAAAAAAAGACATGATATGCAGACCCTCTATTTGTGAAAATAAGAGAATGTCTTCATATATCAGAATGAATAAGATCAAATGGTGCAAGAGAGCAAGTAAAACTTTTAGCAAAAGTTAATGTACTAAACTTACCTAACTTGTATTCGCTACAACTGAAAATGTCATGACACTCTAAACTACCAAAATTGCCAATAAAGTCTACCTGTTTCAAACGAAAATGAGAAACATAAGCAAGACAAAAATACTAAAAATAAAAACTAGAAGGCTGTGAATTCAAATGCAAGGAAGACAAATCCACAGTAAAGTTGCAATGTTTGGAACATGTAGTTCGTCCAACACATACAACTATTCCTTATCTACGGTCTATCTTAATCAACTTTTTTTGTAATTTGGATCCAACATAACACAACCAGAAGAAGATTAATGAATTGAAAATCCAAAATCAAATAGTTAACTGACAGAGATCAAATGTTCAAACCAAAAACCCCCTCAAATATATTTTTTTTCCATTTTTCTTCTTGGCTAATCACCTATCATTAATAAGTGAGTGACTCACCAATATACAGTGAGTCCCATTTAAATTAATGGTATATGATCCACCAAAAGAAAATAAAGAGACATATGTATTGAAAGGATCTTACTCTATCATTATACTCCCTCACTCCATCCTGTGATGTTGGAATGGACATTCCAATCCATCCAACCCTATTGTTTAAACTAACAAATCCATGGATTGTGATCCTTTTCATTTGACTTTTACTCAAAATTTTAAGGGGATCCAACTATTTGAGTAAAAGTCTAATAGAGAGGATCTGGATCTCATCCCCATAGAACTTTAGTAATTACACTTCTCACTCCCACTTAATAATGGACATGGGCACAGTCGGGTTGGGAGATAAATTTTTTCTCTGATTTACTATTTTATCTGCTTGGTTTAATTAAAAGAATCTCCATAAGAGGGTTTCAATTGAGAAAAAATGAACCTCTCTGGTGTTCCAGTGTTCTAGTGCTATGGACGTGAGATGAGACCAAATGGAGCCATCTCATCTTAGAAAAATACTATTTGTACCTAATTTAATGATCTTATTTGATGATATAATGGATCATAGTAATTGAATTGATAGTGAGTATTTCAGCTGGTGCACCTCTAATATGAAAAGAATAACCAATTTTAGCCAGAATGTTATATATATGATGTCTTAACAAAGTGGAATTTGGAGTAGCACAGGCCTTCTTAACCAAGAATTCATTGGAAAACCAGACCAAATCTCGCCAGCATACCTGTAAGTCCTGGCACATTTGGCTCACCCCTTTTACAGGCTATAGAAGGTCCTCTAGTCTCAAATTAATGACAGGGCAATCAAAATGTTTCCTAGAACCACCTGAGAACTAGCAGCCATTAACGCAGAGGTTGCAATGCTATCATACATTATGCCAAAAGTCTCAGATGACCAATGAAAATTGCATAGCATGCACACTATGATATGTAGACCAGAGACATATCAATATCAAAGCTTTTCCCATATTAAACTTTTCATTCCTGGATTAGGTACGGCAAACATAGCAACAGAGAGCATATAAAAACTTGAAGAACTTTATTGGAGATTCATACATAATAGATCAGCTAAAAGGGTTCTGAAACCAAGATGACTTTTTTGTCACCATAGCTGTAACACCATTGCAGAAGATGGAGATGGCCCTAAAAAGAGAGGAACTTATCTCACGTGTCACCATTTTCATGTGGGGTTCCAGTTACAACATGCTGCAACAATTGAGCACCATGATTTAAACGTCAGTTTCAGATTTTGGAGCGAAAAAACATTCAGGATGGATATTGGCACGATTATTCACTACCTGAATGCATGACAGGGTGTACTGCACATCACTTTCTGAAATTTGGTGGTGAAACACAATCCTTATTCTGCAACAATTAAATATTGAAGTCATCTTCCTGTTTAAATGATCAATGTCCATGAAAATTAAGGTTGTTCAATCAAAAACCATTTTGTTTCACAAAATATTAGAAAACCACAACGTCAGTTAACCAAAATTCATGAATCAGCGTAATAGTATGCAAGTATTGGTGGAACCAGAACAAACAACCCTCCCTCTATAAGACAGTATATGTCAGCTAGTCTTGGAACCTCGGATTTCTTTTTCTTGACAAAATTGCTAAAAAATATTTAGTGATTACTGCTTCAAAAAAGTCCATCTAACAAACTTTACCATATGCTTATATTTGTGGGACAAGACTAAGCTGAGGTGGCGTGTGAAAGAATATATGAAATTCCAACAGAACTTCTTAAACAATTAGAAATAATGCGTTTGGAAGGTTCAACAAAAAATAGACCTATCTGTGTCAAAATTTTTTGTATATCCCCAAATGCTAATATATATTGGTGGTGCTGGCGATGACAATGGTGTTTTTTTTTTCTGGAGGGGGGGGGGGAGGTGGAAGTGTGGGTGATGATGGGATGGTAGTGATTGTGGTGGTAGGTGTAAAAATGAGCAAGTGTTTTTAAAGTAAAAACTTTCTTCTTCTTTTTTTATAAATTTTTCTAATAATCAACTGAAGTAAATGGTAAAACCAATTATACTTATTCAAAAAGTACTTTGCGATTGAAATACTATCTTTTTTTTTTAAATCCTCAGTTTACCATAAGAAAAGTAATTTTGTTTTTAAGCAGAATACAAATTTCATCAGAAAATTCGCATCCCTCATCTCTTTCTTGTTTTTGACTATTACTTTGGTATACGAAAATCTTGTAAGGTCATAAACCATCAAGTAAAAACAAATCAACACACATAAGAAAGACTTATAAGCCAAATGAATAAGATATTATAGACGCCTGCATTTTTAGAATTAGAGAACTTTCATTGAACATTAAATTAACTTGACCAAAATTGGAGTTCAGTGGGTGAAAGATTACAAGATGAAAAAACAAGAAACCTTTGTTGTATATGGAGTCTGAGACCTTCTCTCACAAGACACTTTCAAAATAATCCTCCAGAAGGGACTTCTGTTTAAATAAGAAGTTGAGGACTTGAGCACAGAGAGTTTTTATTAGTTCTGAAGATTTGGATTCAAATTTCTTTTCCATGAGTTTCTCCTAAAGAATAACCAAAAGGAAACTAGTGTAAGCCTATTTTTAATTTGAGCAAATAGTGAAACTTCGAAAGAGATGTGCAAACCTTGGTTGATTAAGTCCTACAAAGTTTCTAATGACCTAGTCATATAGACTTCAATTAATATTTGACATACATTAGCAAAATATTTTGGAAAGCGTTGCAAAAGTTAGCCATTGGAATACCGACCTCGCAAATTTAGCGACTTAACAGTTACGAATTTGGGCCAGGGCAAATTTTAGGCTGAACGTTTTATCTTCAATCTTTGAATTGAAATTTTTGTAACTTCAGTTTAGAATGTAATGCCCAACCTTGCACTTCTTTATCACATAAGCTAAAAATGCAATACCAGGGCAATTTCCTATGTGCCTTGGTTAATATTTTTAGTATTTATAAAAATACTAGTCCACCTGGACCTATTTTCAATCAACAACCATAAACCTGTAAAACTGGACTCAAAATATGCTATGCTTGCGTAAACAGTGAACAAGGTTCATGAATCAAGAAAATTGTTTAGAAACAGAACCATACCTGGATAAACCCTCTGGCATCACAAGTATACCAAGTTCTTCCAAAGCCATGCAAATTTTGGGTGCAGTAATATTTGTCCCCTCCAATATATCACAATATACCTGGCCATGAGAAAATAAAAATTGAATGTTATCATTTGTATATTCCGAAAATAGACCATGAAAACTTGACACAAATTTAATTAAAACAAACACTTTCAAGCCCAAAATTCTAGCACCTCAAGTAATGTGATAGATTGATAAAACATTGATTAGAACCTATGAAAACAAAAATCCTCATATAAACATTCTGATCACACTGCACACATAGTCCACATTCATGCGCAATTGATATCTAAATTTTGGGAACTTAATTAACAAACCAAACAACTGTCACAAGAAAAGGCTATTTTATCTTGGAAACCTCCATGCAGGAAAGAAGGGGAAGAAAGGTGAGAGATCCTCAAATATGATCCTTAATATCCTAACATGAATCGAGGCTTGAGTAAAAAAGAAGCTGGCTCACTGCTAGCCTAGACAATGGGGGCTGCAGTAATATATTTTGGAGACAAATTTTGATATTAATAAACATATTTGGCCATTGCGGAGAAAATACAAATTCATAATGGCAAAGTCAAAATTGGTTAGACTTAAAATTTATACAACAGAGACAAGTATCAGTAGCTTCCCAACCAAGACCATTCAGCCAAAAAAAAAACAGCTCACTGCCCAACAGCTTGTGCTTCCATAACTAGGCTACTTACAATGTTGGTCTCCACAGAAGTAACATCCACTTTTAGTCCTTTGATTTTGTTCAGTCCCTCTGGTAAAAAAGTTCATATCCAAAAGAAAAACATTAGCAGCACAAATGCATAGATTGATAACAGGAAAGCAAATCACCGTATTTGAAGTATGTAGCAAAATGGAAACCTGTCAGCTATGCAAAATTTGATAAAGCAGACAGTGGCCATGCCTTCCAACAAAAAAGAATTTGATGTAGAAAAAAATAAAGAATGGAGTAATATATTACCAGCTAAAACCTTAGCTTTCTTGTGATCACCTTCAAGCTTTGCAACATTCTCTTGCAATGCAACCAAAGCAGCTGCGCACAGGACACCGACCTGTCTCATTCCACCACCTAACGTCTTCCTAAGAATCTTAGCCTATAAAACCAGAGGGAACCGAAGGCTAAGTTTCTGCAACCAAGAGAAAATATCATTCTTACTCATTGCTGAAAAAGATGTAGTACCTTGGCAATAAAGCTTTTTGAACCAACAATTACAGTTCCAGCTGGAGCACCCAGGCCTTTTGATAGGCATGCCTAAACCACATATTCAAAATGTTAAAAAAGCCAAAACGGATACAACAAGAAGGGGATATGCTATATAATGTGATGGGACACTTCAAGGAGGTGTTATATCAACGACGCGTGTCCTCGGCGCTGAGGTACATCCTTAACTCTGACGAGGCCACGTGTCCTCGGTACCGAGACCCCTACTCTAACGATGACATGTTCCTCGGTGCCAAGGCATGTGCCCTCAGCTCCGAAGGTACCTTTACTTGGGGGGAATCAAGTGTCCTCGGCCCCAAGGTATCCACTGAAACCCTAACCATACCACGAGTTCTCGGCTTCTAAAGAGGCTATTGATTGACAGTTGAGCGTCTAAACTAGAGTAGGAATCATGAGGGCACTCTGCACAATGAAGTCAGAACAAGAAAATGAACTGTACACTCAACCAAGAGGAGTCGAACACGTGGCATAAAGAGCAGGGTAGGGGGTAAAAAGACAGAACTAGCCCTGCTGACATACGGCTATTTCAGACAAACATTTAATGAATCCTCAAACGATGGGACATCCACAGTGGCTTTGGGAGCCGAGGAGTGGGAGCATTAAATGATCCAGGGCCTGTGCATTTAATGTCCCCACATTGAAGAAAGAGCATTAACTACTCGGCACACCGGCAATTAATAATGGGGGTTCCCCATGCAAAGTAGGAGGCACACTACCCCCTTTCTGAACGCTACCTACTGTCTAGACCATCAGCAATGATGGGTCTTTGAATGTATAAATAGTCCTTAAAAACACATTATAAAGGTACGCAAATAACCCTTAAGAGCAACATAGTACTTTCTTCTTCCCCTCTCTTAAAGAACTGACTTGATCGTCGGAGGGGATACGCTGGAAAACACTTCGGCGCCCTTCTGACTTCTTTTTCTGTGTGATAGGAGCATCCTGCGACTCTCCGAGATCGATCGGATATCCCCAAGGGCAATTCATCACCACTCTTTAGGCCTTTTTTTGCCCTCTCAACTCATTCCTTGTTGCGAAATCCACCACCTTGATGAACTCAAATTCACCAGGGAAGAAATCTATTCCCATTTCATCTATTGTGCAAAAATCAGCGTGCACATAATGCAATAATAAGATGCGAAAATAGTGTATATGGCTACACACATGTCAGATGTTTAAATAAAGATGTGCATTTGCATCTAGAAGGAAATAGAGGTCTAGATGTTGAACTATGTGAACACGAAAAAAAGGAATCTAGCAAGAAAAAAAATATAAGTTAGAACCTTACCGAAACAGAATCAGCAGCCTGAACAAGCCTATGAACAGGTACTCCAAGTGCCTGGAAGGAAGTTTTCCGAATTAAAAATTAATCCACTTTCCCATAAATGCAAAGAAAAATTTAAGGAAACAAAAAAGGAAAATATGATTGCTGACTAAATAGTGACTTTGAATTCAATGCATACAGTGCAGTTTTCTGCATGTTCCAACCATTTCAATCTACGGTTCCTAATATTCATCGAACAAAGCTATCCCTTCATGTCAAGAATTCAATCATTTTACCAATTTTATCACCCAATCATCCAGAGTACTCCAAAGCATCAAGAACAACCGATCACTCACCTGTACTTGTATGGTTAAACATATTCCACACTATTTATTGTTATTTTTCCATTTTCATTAGTTTTGATTACCAAATATCGCCGAAATAACCAATATCGACATAAAGTTAAGTTTTTTTCTCACAACTGATGCATTAAAGATCCGAGCCCCATCAATGTGAAGCTTCAACCCATGCTTATTTGCCAGCTCTCCAACCTTGTTTATGTAGTCTACAGGAAGACATCTACCACCAGAGCTGCATTAATATCACTGGTAAGCAATTGCATAATGTATAAAAAGGTGGACAGGAGAGCAAATAAGAAAGAAAAAAGAGCACATGTTAACTACCCAAAATATCACTACTAAGACTTATCCATCGATAAATTCCAAATTATACGGTAAAATCAATCCTCGGTTTGAAAACCTATCATAAATTTGTTGAAAGACCCATTATGCATGTGATGCATTAACCAATAAGTGGTGAACAATACTTCGACAATCTAAAAATGTATTGACCTGTGCAAGCATCTCAAAATGAGGATGAGAAAGAAGAGAATCACATAACATTGCTTTTCCTAGGAATAAATAAATAGTTTGGACAAAATATTCTTAACAAAAATTTGGGTTTCAGATCTCTGGAAAATGGATAGGATTACCCCATAAATCTGACACTAATCCAAAGATAACCAATATACAGCCCAACATGATGGATCACACCGGTTCAATGGAAAACTTAGTTAATTAAACATTCCTCCTGGAAATCCAGGTAAATAAATGAAAGAAATCTCATTATGCTATCAACTGAATCCATATGGAAAGGAGACAACATGAAAATAAAATTGGACAGGATATAGGTCATATCGAGATACATGGACAAATCAACATCAAATAATATAAAATGAAAACAAAGGGAGAACATCATTGATACAACTGCCTAGAGGGTTTTGATGCACCGTTATAAGGAAATCTTTATACCTGAAATAGATTTGAAGTTTTATTATGTTAAAAATACAGCAATGTCTCATAACAAGACCAAAAATGCATTTTTTACAGAAAGGGATCAGTCATACTTTCCAGAAAGGATCAGTAATATATGCTAATCGAGTCACATCCAATCTCAGTTGAAGCATGTTTATATAATCAATAACTAAACTTTAAAACAAGATATGTGATTGTGAATGAAACAACTCGCCAAATCTCTTTACTGACTTAAATATGTGAGCAACAGAGATTTGACAGTGCCAGTCATTCCAAAAGTGTACTACAGCCTGGCATTTGTGAAGTATTAGAGAAACGACCAATTCCCCAACATCATCCCCAAGTGACTGAGGAAGTTGGAGAGCCTTTGTCTACTGAGGTTATAAGGCCATTGATGATCTTTGAAAGTCAGTTATCAAAGTCCACAAAGTTTCATGCATGATGAAAAAAAAAACAAAAAAAAAAAACAGAGAAGTGGTAAGATCTTTTAGGGTCAGATGCTGCATTCACAGGCCAGACAAAAGTCAAATCATTTCTGAAAGACTGATGACACCACCTAGACACTTATAAGCCATCTTCAACGGAGAAAAGGCATAGCCCTGTGTGAACATGTAGGAGACAATCGCCCATAATCTTGTCATATTGCAAACTCAACTACTAAAACACAGACCAGTTGGTTAAAAAAGAAAAAATTAACTTGCTTATTCACCATGCCTAAGCATGATAACAACTGCAAACTGACTGCATTTAACCATCCAATCATAGGAAAGTTAAATACACCATTCGGGTCTCTAAACATGCCAAGAACAGCCTTCAACGTTTTTCAATTAAAAATGGAGGATAAGAGAAAGTTGGCCCCACAAAAACTGGCAAACAGCCATAAGAATTAAAAATAATATTCTCTCCTTCAAAAACTACAAGCTATACCCCCTCCCCGGGGGGCCCTTCTTTCCCCAACCCTAAATTACGTAAGAAGGGAAAGGAAAATAAGTTATGACCAGCGTTTGCTAAACATAGTGGAAACCTACACTGTATAAACATCTGGTGGATATCATCAATTAATTAACCGCTTCACTGGAATATGCACTCTTCAGGAAAAGCTAAAGCTAGCTCAGAACAGATAAACAGCATAACACTAATACTCACTTTGCATGTGAATTTTCCAAGCAGATAAGCGTAGTAGTAGGGTAACAAATCTCGAATTCAGGATCTCGAATGGCAGCTTCAATCAGATTAATATCCATCGTTCCATCTTTGTTATTCTTAACTGTCCTTGGATGGACCCCTCCAATTGTTGAAATGCCTCCGTTTTCATATATATGGATATGAGAGTTATCACCGAGTATGACTTCACTCCCTCTAACATTACAATGAACAAGCACACTAATGAGGTTACCCATAGTGCCTGAAGGAACAAATAGTCCCGCTTCCTTGCCCAAAATCCTCGCCATCTCTGTTTCTAGGCAAAGGGCTGTCGGGTCATTACCTAATACATCGTCATCAACTTCAGCTTTAGCCATAGCAGCCCTCATTGCTTCAGTTGGTTTTGTTACTGTGTCAGATCGGAGATCCACTCTTCTAGTCACCATATTAACCGAATCTTCAAAAAAGAAAAGAAGAAATCAATAGCGGGATTAATTAGTCAAAAGAAAAGTTGCTACCTATCTCCATATATAACAACCAAACTATGATTTGCTAACCGAAATCAATGACAGATAGATGAAGTCTTACAATTTTGCCTTCAGCAATCATGATTGCACAATATTCAGTTGAAACTATTATTAAATAGCGAGGAATTTCATTTCTTTTAAATCATTAAAATTCTCCTTCATGACAGAGGAAATAAAATATTGATTGGATATCAGAAAGTAATGCAGATATGAAACAAAAAGTAAATCTCATAATTTTTGCAGTCACAAGTTTGAGGCACCAAAACAGACACTATGACTCAGACATCGTTCCATCAACGTGAGACCTGTCCTACTTGCTTGGCTAGGAAAAAGAAAAGATATGAAAATCTAACTTGCTAGTTAGAAGAGTTGTTCTAGTCAGCAAAACATCTAGGTCTACAAAAAGCATATTTAGTAATTCTTTACCTGAACTCATTTTATAAAGCATCATCCTTATTGCAATTTAACAGTCCCAATTCCCAGGTAATGTAATATCAGAACAGCTTAATGAAGCAAGAAGACAAAGACTTGATCTCTTTTATGGGTGATTTTCCACTCAAGAGTCCAGTCAAATAAGGTATGCCATACAGCAACTTCACAAGTTTCCCTCAGAAAAGAAATGCGGCACTAATAGAGCCAAATCATCTATCTGGAAATCCAAACACCAACAAATTTAAAAAGTGAAATGTATGGAGTTCTTATTTATTGGGTGCAACTAATGATAATATTTGCATTTAATAGCCCGGATCCCCTCATTGATTTTGAACTAACCTTGAGGAAACTCAAAATATCAAACCTCAATTTTTTTATTTTTGGGGGGCCGCCGGGGGGGGGGGGGGGGGGGTGGTGTGCAGGCCTGTTTCTTTCCGCCTTCAGTTAAGCATGAATTACAGAGAGGTGAAATGCATGAACCCTTCAACAGAATTGCCCACTATTACTCAACTGCACACAGAAACTCAGGACACAGTTAGCAAAACCAAATAGAAAATTTCTCGAATAAAAGCACATCGACCTCATGCAAATCCCACAAGAAAAAGAAGAAAATTCACAGATTCCTTCAACCCAGAAACATTTTAATATAAAACTTTTGAAAAACAAACTCCAGAACCATCACATGAACATATTTTCAACCAAAAAAAAGAAAGCAACTTACTTTCAATTTTCAATAGCTGTCTTGGGTCGAAAAGACCCATATGAATAAAGAGAACACGACACTGACATATATTGTTCTCTTCAACAAGAATCCAAACCAGTACTTACAGAATCTCTGATTTTTATCACCATAGAGAACCCCACCACAGCTCAGGAAGAAGAATCTCAACAGAGCCACTCTTGCAATGCATTCATTTGTCGTTAATTGACCAGAAAATAACCCACGTATCACAAGAAAAAACCAAACAGCCACACTAGTGTCACTCAGCAAAATTGCCACATGTACACATTATTACACATACAAGCATGTATAACAATAACTAGTGGCTGATAAGAAACCAAACCTCAATCCTCAAACCTCTGGCAATTAGGTTCTTGTGTTAGGCAATGAGATTCGTCAGTTCCATCAACTCTTGTTTTTACCTTACTTTTCGCCAGATGATTTGGTTTTTGTTATTTGTTCTTCTCTTAAACCTCTCTCCTTTGTTTTATTGAAAATGGGTGGTTATAATCAGGAAATGGGTGTGTTTTTATAGATATATGGATGGTCATGTTGGACCTTTAATGGCTGCATGGACTTAACCGAGCTGGAAGATGGAAGGAGAAGTGTCATTGGTTCACGTAACCTTTAAATCTATAAAGAAGATGACTTGGACGGGTCCATTTTCGTCTGAGCCCACTTGCATTTCGTGGTGGTTGAGAAAGAAAAATTGCAATTGAAATCGTATAACATTAAACAAATTTTTTTTTAAAATATAATTAGTGCATTGCTTAGCATGAATATGTATTTGGCTTTTGTCATTAAATATGTCCATAATTGTAAGATTTTGAAGATAGAAAGTTGTCTACAACACGAGTTGATAAGATCCTCCACCTCATTGTGAGGATTGATTTCAATTTTTGAATTTTTTTTTCCGTGCTTGATACAAGATGTACCTACAATAATTTTTATATGCCTATTATGGATCTACACCCTTAAAGATTGATAAATATTTTGGATCTTATTTATCAAAGATATATTGCTTTACACTATAGTTAGCTCCGCACCAATCAAGAATTCTCAAGGAATTCTAAGAATTTTTGTTATGCATTCGTTCCAATCTTCAATTCTCTTTTTGAAATTCATTGCTATTGAATCAATCAAACGCACCTCTAACACTTGTTCCACTTTTGGAAGACCCTGCATTATATCACCAAATCTCATTTTTTCATATATAAATGTAACTAATATATCTCATTCGTAAAGGATTTCCCCATAATGGCCATTAACAGTTGCTCATGAGGTTGCCAAATAAGGTTTCGTTGATCGTATTACTTCGGAGTCACCTTGAACAGTTAGAACTTGACTCGATTTTAGGTGTGGTCAAATAGGCCCTTTTAACTAAATGGTAGAGTAATGTTATGGTAAGGCATAAGTCATCAATTCAAATCCGATAAAGGATTTTAGTGTTTTTAATAAAACTTCAATCATCTTGAATTACTAAATATTCTTATTTTTCATTATGCCAATTAAATCCATTGTAAAGACTAGAAATCACCTAAAGAAAACGTAAGTGGACCTGAGTGTATCCGTTATTTTAATATTAAAAGATGAAACTAGAGCAGTTGACCTCTTTTTATTTTAATTTCACTTTTTTGGACTCCGCAAGAATTTGTCGATATTTCCGATTCAATCTTCTTGTTTCTAGATGCTCCATAAGAATAAATTCTTATTCTGTTCCTCCACACATAAAAGTTTATTCCAAGTTAAAACATAAGAGCTATTTTCAGTAACTTTCTTTAATTACAGAACATGATTAATTTATATCTATCTATCTATCTATATATATATATATATATATATATATATATATATATATATATATATATATATATATATATATATATATATATATATATATATATATATGTATACCTATCAGATTGTGGCTTTATGTACCAGATATTTCCATATTGCTGCATCTGATATTTTTTTCTTCAATTTAATACTTAATAGAATATTAAATAAAATAAATAGGCGACTCAAAAACTCAAGTATTTTAAGAATTAGTCGCGCCAACTAAACTTATACTTTAATTGCATTTGTATTATGTTGAAGTGTCAATAAGTTAGAGGGCTATTGTCACCCATTAATCCTGTTAATAGTAGCATTCTTATGAAACCCACCAAATCAAATCCTCATTTCCCTAGCAAGAATTTTTAATAATAAAAAACAAAAGAGGGGCTAGGAAAGGTGTGGATGGGAGAGCCACAATCCTTTCAGCAATGAAGGGAAAGAACAACAAATGCATTAGTTGGAGGGGTTCTATGCATTGTTTGATATGGTGAAAAAACGAAAATATAGAAAGTTGAAAGGATAAATAAAATATTATGTTTGGTAAGAAAAGCAAATAAGGATAAAAAATGGAAAGATTAACCTTTCATCCAATTCATCCAAATCTATTTCTCTAAAATTGAGATGAAAAGTGACAGAAAATTAATAATATGTGTTGAAATATATGTTATATATCTTTATCACAATATAATAAAGTATAAGACATTTCAAATCCCAAAACATAAAAAAATGACCTTTGGTTTTTGAGGTTCAAATCGTTTTAGAATTTTTTTTTTTTTTTTTACTACTGATCTAATGACTAAAGATCACTTCTAGAATTTTGGCTAAAGATTATTTTAATAACACATCAAAATACACACACACACACTAATCTATACTACTTATAAATGTCAGTATCTACGAAAACTTTTAATTTTTTATTTTATCTCTAATTATTATAATAAAGTCAATTATACCCACTTCTAATTTTTATTTTTTACACCTATTTAACTTTCAACTTGTTTTTATTCTTTTATAAGGACTTCTAATTTATTTTGTACTCATTTATTAGCAATACAATTACATATAATTTTCTATATCTATATAAAGAAATAAAGTCCTATATATATTAAATTATTATACACATGCTAATTCCAGAGGTGACTTATATAAATTTCAGCAAATGATTGATGCTTGAGTAATACTAACAATTCTAATACGGTAGATAAATGACTTATATTTTTGGCATGTTGTTTACTTTAGCGTTGTCCTATAGGTCCATAGCACATTGAGTAATTCTTCAGTCCACTTACCTTTTGCCCTTTCCAATCTCTTTTTAATTCTGGTTAACACTGTCTTATTTGAAACCTCCGCTTGTCCATTTTTTTGTGATTAGGTTGGGGTGGAATAATAATTGTGTATTCCAAATTTCGAATAGAACTCCATAAATGGACCACTGTTGAATTGAGTGTCGTTGTCCGAGATGATGGCCCGAGAGATTCTGAACCTAGTGATAATGTTTTGTCATACAAACTTCTTTGTTTTGACGTCCCGAATACGGCTTAGAGACTCATCTTCTATCTACTTTGTGAAATAATCAATAATTACTAAGAGGAATTTCTTGTCCAAATGGGCCCTCGGGAGAGCCCTACAATATCCATGCCCCACTTAGAAAATGGTCAGGGACTTGTCAATAAGTTCAAATCTCCTATTGGTTGTATGAGGATGGGAGCGATTTTCTAATACTTATCACATTTATGGACGTAGCTCTTGGCATCCTTCTACATGTATGGCCACCAATACCCCTGAGACATTGCTCGGTGTGTGAGAGATCTTTCTCCTGTATGACTCTCACATATACCCTCATGAACCTCATAGAGCAAATGTTCTATTTTATCCTCGGGGATGCATAATAAATGTGGCCTCGAGAAGGATCTCTTGTATAACTTGTGATTGACAGATATCCAGAACTTGGGAGCCTTGAGTTTGATTTGTCTAGCTTCTCTGATATCCTTAGGAAGTTCCCCTTCCATCAAATATTTGATTAAGGGGTCCATCCAACTCAGAGGCATTCTTTGGACTTGCGTCGATTGTACCTGCTCGGCCTTTGTGTCTCTTATACTCGAAATTTTTTTATTTTCAATGATAATATACCAAGTCACCTCCGAGGCCAATGCCGAGGCGAGACAGGCCAGCCCATCGACATGGGTATTATGAGCCCTTGAAATTTAGGACATTTCTACCTTCTCCAACTTCCTGATCCCCGATTTTACCTTCTGATGATATACCTTCATTCTGTTATCATGAACCTCAAAGTCATCATTGATTTGATTTACTACCAACTGGGAGTCTCAGAAAATGTGGAGGCATCTAACTCCGACCAAGTACGCAATATCGAGTCCTACCAACACTCATTATTAGATGCTTTGAATTCCAATTTGATAGCTCGCTCCACTGTGAATCCTCTGAAGCTGGCCAATACTACACCTACTCTTGCCCCTCTTGCATTCAAGGATCCATCTACATGTAAGCTCCAAACATCGTCAAAAGTCAACTGTTCTTGTGGAGAATTGGACGCAGAGAACTCGGCTATAAAATAGACAAGAATCTGTCCTTTGATGGAAGTACGGGGTTTGTACCTTATTTCGAATTCCCTAAGCTACACAGACCACTTGGCAACCTCCTGGATATGTCAACTTTATGTAGGATGTGCTTAAGGGGCTGACCGATCAAGACTTCTATGATATGTGTTTGAAAGTAGTGTTTGAGTTTCCTTGCTGAAACTATCAATGCCAGTGTGAGTTTTTCCATTTGAAAGTATCTGGTCTTGGCATCAAGGAAAGTCTTGCTCATGAAGTAAATAGGCCTTTGCATCCCCTCGTGCTCCCTAACCAGAGCCCCCACTAACGCCTCTTTCTGACACGGATAAGTGGAGGTTTAGCACATTTCCCTCTGTTGGGATAGACAAGGTGGGAGGGGACCTTAGGTATTCTTTAATCCCTTTGAGTGCCCAATCACATTCTTCACCCCAAAGCCTTTTTTGTCACCCCCTTGAGCATGGCGAAGAATGGTATGCACCTATCCGAGGACCTTGAGATGAATCGGTTGAGGGCAGCTAGCATTCCAGTCAATTTCTGAATGTTATTAGTAGTCTTCAGCGCCTGGATACTCTACACAGCCTGCACCTACTCGGGGTTGGCTTCTATGCCCCTATGTGTGACCAAGTATCCTAAAAATTTGCCCGAGCTTGCAGCGAAGGCACACTTTGAGGCATTAAGCTTTAGCCTGTATCTCTAGAGCACGGCGAATGCTGTTCCGAGGACCCAAAGATGATTAGAACCTTTGTTGCTCTTCACATGCATATCATATATATAAACCTTCATGGTGACGTCGAGCTGCTGCTTAAAAATCTTATTCATCAAGCGCTGATAAGTGGCACCAACATTCTTCAGAACGAACGACATTACCATGTAACAATAGATCCCTCGAGGCGTAATGAATGTCGTCTTCTCCTTATCTGATTCATGCAAGGATATTTGATGACAACCTGCCCCAACATCTATAAAGGAGATACGTTCATGGCCCGCGGTCACATCTACAAGCTGATCGACCTTTGGCAATAGATACTCGTCTTTGGGACATGTGTTTATTCAAGTCCATGAAATTCACTCACACTCGTCGTTTTCTGCCTTTTTTCTATGCGCACACCGTGTTGGATAACCATTGGGGGAACTGCACTTCTCTAATGGAGCTCGCCCCCAATAACTTATCCACCTCTTCATCTACTGCCTTTGTGTGATGGGATGCCGTTTTTCAAGCTTTCTATCTTACAAGTTTGAAGGACGGGTCCATATGAAGCCGATAAGTTATTACCTCGGCACTTATTCCTGTTATCTCGGCTTGAGTCTCATGCAAAGACATCGGCATTTTGGCGTAAGAAGTCTATCATGTCAGACTTTTCAGTGCCACCTAGTGATGCCCCTATTAAAAAGAATCTTTCATCATCCTCGGGATTCAAAAGAACTTTGACCAAGGCCTCCGTGGAACGATCAGGTGGTTCCGTAATGGGGTCATCCACACCAGGTTGACCAAATTGTGATTGTTATTTAGCCACCACTGTCTTGGGATCACACTCTTAAGCTCGACTACTAACCCCAGTCTTTGCTACGACGTAAAAACAGCTTTTCGATGTTGTCTGATCGCCACGAATCTCCATGACACCCCTTAGAGTGAGAAACTTAATCTTATGATAATAGGATGAATGCACTACCTTCATTGCATGTAATCATGCCTTGCCAATGATGGCATTATATGGTGAATCAGAGTTTATCACTACGAATTCTACTAGGACGATAACGACCCCAACACTAACCATGAGAGTGATCTTCCCAAAGGGAAGAGCGCAGTCTCTGTTAAAACCTATGAGAGGGGTCCTCACCGGCTTCAAGTCTTTCTGGGTGAACCCCATTTTGCGAAAGAGATTGTCATACATCACCTTGGACAAGCTACCTGAGTCCACCAAGGTCCTCTTGACATCAAACTTTTTGACGCAGAGGGTGATTACCAAAGCGTCTTCATACGGGAGCACTAACCCTCTTAGGTTGGCATCGAAAAAGTGGATGATCTCGACGTTAGTCCGCGGCCTCTTAGACGACTGCTCGCCATACCTGTTTTCCTCCACTTTCACCGCTTGTGAGACCCTCTGGAGGTCGGCCCCAAAGGGAATTATTCGTTGGCCTTTCAACCGTGTAAGCATGTATTATTTCGATCACGGTTGTCACTTCTAGAAATATGTCGAGCTCTCTTCCCGCCGAGCCCCTGTCGGGCTTCTTTTCAATGAACTCCCTGAGGTGCCCATCTCGGACCAATTTCTTTAGGAAGGACTTGTACACCCTACAATCTTCAGTTAAATGCCCCACATCCCAGTGATAAGAACACGGAGATGTTGAATCCCTCGACGATGGGTCTCCTTGCATTTTCAGGGTCCACTTAAAGAAAGGCTCTCCCTTTATCTTGTGTAACATCTTGTAAATGAGTTCTTTGAAGACTGTGTTTACCCCTTGAAAGGAAACACAACTTGGAGACGAAGTTAACACCCTCTCCTTGTCGGTGTTTCCTTTTACCTTTTTCTCGGCAATAGGGCCCTCCTCTCGGGCATCATGGACTCTTCCTCCACCCTGGCGTACTTATTTATCCGAGTCATCAGGTCCTTCATATCTCTCAGGGCTCGCTTAGTAAAAGATCTATAAAGGTCGATGTATCGGGATAATCCCAGCCTAAATGTCGTTGCAGCCATTGTTTCTAAGCAAGCCTCGACCTCATTGACTTCCTCCCAGCACCTAAGTGCGTACTGCCGAAGGGACTCTCCAACCCTCTGTTTAAGTGTTATTAAGGCGCCGATGTCATTCGGCCTTTTACTACTGGTGATGAATCGAGCTATAAAAAGCTCGGTCATTTGCTTCTAAGACTTGATGTTCTCCAGGGCTAAGTTCTCGTACCACTTCATTGTAGTGTCCTCCAAGCTCATGGGAAAAAATTGGCATAATAGTCTTTGATCGGTGTCATAAATGGATATCAGTTGCTTGTATTCTCGCAGATGGCTCTCGGGATTTGTTCTCCCATCATAAACCTTGAATCGGGGGACGATGAATTTTTTTGGCATTTTGGTCTCCCGGATCACCCGAACGAATGGAGAGATGATTTGCTCGTCCTCGTCTTCATCCCCCTTGGGATGGGATCTCCAGCGCTTGGCATCCAAGTGTGCTCGGAGGTCCTCTTGAGGCCTCACTTTTCTAGGCCCCCTCGTAGTGGACTCCATATGGGACTCAGTTGTCGCAACACCCTCTGATAGTCTATAGCGGAGATCCCACCGGGACAGGCTTATCCTTTGATGATCCAATTCTGATCTTTCCCCAGGAGCAGACATTCCCTAGCTTCGGGGGTTACGCTTCTCGCTGGCGCACCTGCACAAGCTCCTCCTGGGGGCACCTAGCCTTGCGCCCCTGGAATCACCTTGGCTAAAACTTTCGGTCTTCACGCTTGCTGCTTTACCAGTTGGCACTCCCCGATTGCTCAAAATCATCGAGCCTATCCTACACTTTGGCGTTATCCCTCTCAAGTTGCTTAAGGCGGTTTCTCATCTGCTTTTCCACCAACTCAACGATTTCACGAGCCAAAAGGCCTTACCCCCAAGGCCTTGATCCACAAGGAACGTTTGTTGTAAGGCATGCTCGCCTCTCTCTAACTAGCTCAAAGAATCTGACTCAATGACTGCCGGGAGTCAGGTAGCTTCTGTGTTTCTTACACGTAAGTTTCCCCCCATCACCTTGGGATCGTGTGTTCTCCATGATGCAATCGCTACGAGAAAAGTTTGTATGCTTCCAACAGACGGCGTCAAATTGCATGGGAGAATTCCTGCAATGAATAGAGATAATGATCCTCTCGATGATAAACCTGAAATAACCAAAAGGTCAGAAAAAAGGGCCAGGTGAATACCCAGCTTATCCCCTCCGAAACGTAAGTCAGTAGGCGTTTGGAGGCTTGAGCATAGTGTTTTCTTTTCTCAATTTAGTTTGCATACATTTGTTCATCTTTCTGAGGAGTATTTAGACATGGACTAACAATGAGTGCAAGGATTTGGAGTCTCATCTCAACATTTAATGTCTTGCCCTCTTATCCATGCGTAATGAGTGCTCTCTACTCAGATTCTCATAACTGGTTCACTCGAGCGATAGGATGACTGCTCAAGGCATGCCGAGCACTTATGACCCTATTTTTGGTCATTTAAGTCTATTTGATCGGTGCTTGACACCTACTCCCGAATATTTAATGTCATCAGGGTTTCCCGATGACATTTGGTCGGCACAATGACTATTAATACTTTACAATTATGATTGTCAGTTTGTGTCTCGAGGATGCAGAGACTCATTAATAGCCATGTCACAGTCACTCAACTCCTCATTAATGAGCTGTCATATCCCCTTAAATGTTGGCCCCAAACTATGTACTCAGCTCATTCGAGTCATTACTCCTTGGCGCAATCTGCCGATACCTTTTACGCTCCATAACGACTATTTCTATTCACGTGTCAATTTTAGGGCTACTAAACCGCCTAAAATCCCGTCACTACCAATGATTGCCGAACTGCTTTAGTGACTACTAAGTTACTTTGTGCTTTGGCTGATAAAGCTTTAGTTAGGTTAGCTAGACGTTGTGTAGTCTAGTTGACTAGTTTGAACTATATCTTTTCTTTTGGTATCATTAATTTTCATATAAAGATACAATAATAAAATATACATTTATACTTTTTTCTTCCTTCCACTTTTTTATCTCTATCAAATACAAAGAAATTAATCAATCATTCGTATTTTGCACAAATGAGGAAAAAAAGGAAGCAACACAGCATTTGGAGGATAAGGTTAAGTTACCAAAGAATATATAAAGAAGAAGGAAGCAATGAAACATACATTCGCATGAATTGCAAGGCATGGAAGCTTGCCTACTCGTATCCAGTGCCACTCCCATAGAAAATTCGTAAACAAACGGGAAGTAAGATGGCGGGATTTCGTTTCGATTGAATTTTCCATGTTAAATAACCAGTAACAAAAGATTACCCAGATGCTACAAAACAATCAAAAACATTATACTCTACAAATTATATCTGATGAAATGGAAAACAGTGTCCTAAACAGGTGTATAATCCTCCCACAAAATTTCCTCCATCTAATAACAATAGTACCGCACAAAATACAAAATACAAAGTTTGAATCCATCATTGAGTTTGCTTGTAAATTTCAGCAGGCAAAACAAGCAATTAATTCCATGTATCCAGTTTCATCCTGCCACAAAACAGCACAAGTAGGCATCTGTCTGGCATAACGGAGGCATAACAGAAACAGTATCCGGAGCTCACCTCTCAATCATCACATCAGGTACAAGCGAGCACGCTACTAAAATAAATATGGTTACTTCCACCCCTTGCGATGTCATGAACATTCGAGAGCTGGTCTTTTATGCATCTAAATTTCCCGTCTCTTCTGGCCCTTTAGAAACATAACCATCTTCAGCCATTTCTTCCACAATATCTTCTGGTTTAGTCAAGACAACACCCGGCATACTGTCTTCCGCAACATTCTGCTGATCCTCAACTGCCATGTCCTCTCTGAAATCTTCATTATGACCTAAACTCTCACCAAAAATCCCATTGGAGTCATTGGTCCTCTTATCCTCCTGTGTGTCAATAATGTCAAAATGACTATCTCCTTTTTCAAGAGAAGGTTGACCAAGAACTGCAGCGAGTTGATTTCCATCCGCACCAGAGAATTGAGTATTATCAGCAAAGTCAAAGCCTTCAGAGCTATTACCTACCGATTTTTCACTTTGTTCGCGAGCAATAGAAGGTTCTCCGGTAGCTGATGGTATGGTGTGAGATACATCATCCATTGCCAGGTTTGCTGTTACATCAACTGCATCGACATCCATGCCATGTTTCGGGCTCACACGAGCTTGTTCTTGAGCATCATCTATCTGTTGACTTGAAGTTTCTTTGTGAGTTGAGTCCAGTACCATGGAGTTCCCAAGCATTTCTGAGGCACAACCAGACTCAATATTTTCCCTGCTTGAAGCAACAGTATGATTTGCAGCGGCCTCAGCGAGCTCAAAAGCACGATTTTTTGCCTCAATTTCTTCTTGCAATTGTTCTTGTATTCTATACTCGTCAATGAGTAGTTGAATCCTCCCTTGCTCCACTATAAGGTTACCATAACGTTTCTGTAAGATTTGCTCAAGTTCCTTCTGCTTCTGAACTTCTTCCCAGAGGCCATCGATCCTGTGTGTTGCAGCTAGCTTCTCCTGCTTTTGTAAGGCTTGGAAGCACTCAAGTTCTGTTCCAGCAGTCTCCATCTGCCTGAAGGTGGTCTCGATTTGTGACCAAATTTTCCCAGCTCGCATCTGGTCATTTACAACAACTAATCATTTAGACTCTAAAGCTGGACGGCAATCTAACCCAATGAACAAACACCAATGAGCCTATGAAAGTATTATTACTGATTTGCGGTATACCAATACTGTGGCAGACTTTTATAATTTCTTCTTTTATCTTGAACAAATTATTTTGCGAACTAAGCCAAATTTTTTTTTTTTCTTGTTAACCAGACTACATAACAAAGAATCATCGACTCAAACTCTTACTTAATCCCATGGAGTCGGGACGAGCAACAACTCAGTACTTACAAATCGTTAATGAAGAACGGAATATGCTGCTAAAACAGTGCATGTGAGTCATGTGACAATCAGAAACAACCTTAATAGACAAGAAACAGATGAGTAAATTTACATTAAAATGGCCACTTGAGCATTTTTCGCATGAAGTAACATAAAAAAATCAATAATATGAAAATGAAAAATTAACCAAGCATTGGAAGTATACCTGATAACCATTGGTAAGAAGTTTTATCTTCTGCTCAAGGCGTTGTGCTTTCTTAGTATCATCATCCATCTTCTTCTTCACATTCTCAAATTCATTCTGCAGGGCAGCGAGCTTCTCCATGTTTCCAGCAACACTACAGAGACCATAACCATTCCGGGTAGGAAAGTACATGATATCGTTTGAGCACATTTTGTGTGCTTCAACAAACTCATCAAGGGATTCATTCTCATGCCCCATTGCTAAGCGAAGAAACTGAGCCTCTTCCTTAACAATATGATCCGCCTGCGAAATTGGAGTTCATTAATTGTTTGCGGTTGGAATGACACTAAATTTTGCAAGGATTACGTGCAAATCTGGAGATGAAATTGTCAGTCTGAATACTCAAATGAGCAAGCCCAGAGATCCAAAATACCTCAAACCAACCCAGTAAAAGACTAATCACTAGAGAACTTTATTCTGAAAATTGATTCTATTACAACACCTAATTACTCTGAAGAATCTCATCACATTTTAAAAATCCCTAGTTTGAGGTTTAAAAACCACTATGGCCAGAATCAAATCCAGCTATGACATTCTTTGTAAAATCAAATCCAGCTATGACATTCTGTCTGAAGGAATGAGGAAACAAAAGGTAGTACTCGAATTTAAATTTAATGATCAACTATTACACAAATATCATGCTCTAAATTTTCCGCAAACTTACAACTTCTAATTTGAAATACTGTTTAGAACCTTGCATTTATATGTGAACTCCATCGACAGCAAACAACAGGATATACCTTGCAGACTTGCGTGACATAGCCACAACTGATATAAACAATTATGAACCATGCGCAGCAATTACATCGGCAATTTATGTGTGAATATAAGCCCCATCAATAACTTTTCCTTTCTATCGCACCACATGGACTCTATTGAAAGTCGCTCATCCACAATGATCTTAGTCCAAATCTAGAAACCCAATTTGATATGATGGAAAGTTGATAAACATTGACTGCTGAAAATATATTCTATGGGGTTCTATGGCCTTACAATACCACCAGGCAAGCAACAAAAAATTGGTCTACCAATCTTCAAATGCACACCAAGACTAGAAACTAAGCATCTGGAAATTCAATTATATAGAAAACGTTATTAAGGCTGGCAATTTTCTACATGACACGAAACCAACATGAATTAGCAAGTTAGGGTTAACTATTTATTGACACAACCCCTAAAATGATATGACCTGCTAACAAGTATAATAAATAGATAAAGTTAGTGTCCCATACGAATAACCTGTTAACTGGTATTGTATGAAAAGAAGTCTAATTTTTTTGTCATTTTTTATCGGTCACTGATATGAATCACTATAAAATAAAAGAAATTTTACTTGTTTTTTTCTTTTTGATGGACTTGATGGGTTTTTAGCCAAAGAAAAAACTCTTGAGAGGGGGGGTTTGGTTGAAATATAATGTGATCTTACTATTGGAATAATTTAATCATGGCTATGCAGATAAACAAGAATGCAACAGGATATTAAACAGATTGGATTAATGTTAGGACATCTAAGAGTATTAATTAAATTGGTTGGATTAGATTTGACTAGTACTCTACATATCTGAATACAACTACTAGATAACAGATTCGAATCGGTGACCTTCCCTCCCTCGAGTTGAGGTTAACCATCTCGGATAGACCCATAGGTCTAGTACTCGATATGTCTTGACATGCTATGACTTGAATACAACACAACACTGGTTGATTACCAACCTAGCTAATAAATTAGCTGCTTAAACTGATTTCCTGACATTCGCATAGATGATGACCCACTTTCTTTATACCTACTTTTCACAGCTGTTTGTATACTTGACGTCCATAGTTGGAATTTTGTAAAGTAGATCAGTAAAGAGGTGCTTAGTTAGACTTACAAGGCATTCGTTGGTGTGCATTTATTTTATATAAACAGGGGAATTGCTTTAGAAAGCTTCATTGATCTTGCTCCATTAGAAGCCATGTCAGAAGTACTAGGCTCCAGTGCCAAATTTGTTTCATATTTTTTTGTGGAACATGTGATTTTGGAGACGAGGACAATGCATTTTTTAAGGAAATCAAATGTTCAGAGGGTTCTACTAAGATCAAACTTCTTTATAGGTAAGGATGACAGTATCATCGTGTATGACGACGTTTCCTTCAGTATACCCATAGTTTCCAGTTGCAATATACCATTTTTGAAACTTTTAGTAATGGTATTTCCAAAGCCATACAATTTTTGTGACAGATCTATATCTTTGGTTTGCGATATATTGTTTTCCCAACATTTCAATAGTTTTTCATAGGATCGTTCCAACTCATTCTTGACCTATCTTGATTAAGACAATAGCTATCTGAAATGATGCTTAGATTGAGCAGTCAAACAAATAATAGAAAGGTAAAATATTATAAAAAACACTAGTAGAGATATGGGAGAGTTTCGCTGCAAAGAACGAAATAGATTTGTGGAATAAGAGATGTTTGACTAGCATAAACTGATAAAAAAAAACTCTTAGACAAAAGCAACTAGTGCTATACTAAAGCCATCATCATCTACATCCAACCACTACTAATACCCACCTCTGGCACAACCAACACTTATCTCCAAAGATGACTTTATTGGTAACATATTCCATGACATGATAAATGGCATAATCCTACAGTAACTTACATAAGGCTTATATAAGACATGAACCATTACCAAATAGTTAATAGATATAGTTCATAGCAAAGAGCTTTTGGAAGAAGTTGGTGGCGGAGAGTCCAAAAGACGTATTGCTTGATCTTATTTTTGCAAATCATTGGTAGATCAGTATGAACATGCTAAGTCATCCAAACCCACATGCATCTAGCTTTCCTTCAAGGAGATTAATAGAGATGATCAGGGACCCGAAAGATTTTTAGGGTGTTTTCTGACATCATGAACTGTGTATACTAATTCTATTCAATACTTTGCTATATACGGTCAGAACACTATAAAATCAAATGATAGTTATGCCAAGGTTGCTAGCAGTGTATGCTGCAGGACATATGTTATATGATACTTTTCGATACATAAAAAATTACTCCTTGCCAAGTTGTGTTGTTTTTTACAATATATTGTCATATAGGAATAAAGATGTTATTTTATAATGCCGATTGAAGGTGATAACGTAAAAGTCATCATACGCGGTAATGGACCTAGTGGTAAAATACAGGTCTCAACCCTCACCCCAAAAACCATGTTGAAGAAAAATGATTAGGAGAAAAGTATGCTAAGATGTTTGTAGATATTGCGATGCAAATACCCTTCCTTTTACGCAGTAAAGGATCCTCTATTCCAAAACAATGTTAGAATCTGTTGCTTCATTTTTCAAGGGATTGAACTCCTTCATATCATGTGGTGCACTCCTCTTCTTAGCAAAAAATAAACTCAATTAATGTTGATTGATGGGAAAATATTACTTAGATTAGACCTACATCTTATGTCCGATGGATGGAACAATGGAAAGCATTGATCCGTCACCAATTTCTTACTGAATAGTCCAAAAGGGAGTGTATTATAGAGAAGCATCGATACATCATAAATTTGTAACAATGCAAATAATATTTATGACTTCTAGACTCAATGATAGAGAAGATTGGTGAGGACAACGTTGCTGAATTGCAACTTATAATGTATCAACTTTGGTAAAAGCGGGGGAATTGTTAAAGGGAAAGAGACAAACATAGTTTTCGTCCTCTTGTGTTGCACATTGCTAAGATCTTATTTTCAAAGATTCAATGGTTGTGGGGTTGGGTGGTAGTGTATTTTAGGGGTAGACGATGGGTTTCATAGAGGGGTTTGTGGAGGTGGGTTTCGGTGGTGGTGGTGGGGTTAGGTGGTGGTGAATTTCTGGAGAAGGGTTGTGGGGGTGGGTTTCAGTGGTGGTGGTGGATTTCGGGGTTACAGGGGGTGGGTTTCGGTGGTGGTGAATTTCAGGACAAGGGTTGTGGGAGTGGGTTTCGGTGGTGGTGGTGGGATGTTTGGTGGTGGTAGGATGTTTAGTGGTGATAGGTGGTTGGCGGTGGTGTTGGGTGGTGAATTTTTGATATAATATTAAACATATTTTTTATTTTTGTTTTTATAATTTTTTAAATATAAATGACTGCCAAACATGTTTTATATTTTTAATTTTTATTAAAAACAAAACAAAACAAAAATTTGTTTTGTTTTGTTATGAAAAAAAACATAAAAACGAAAACGTTACCAAACGTATCCTTAATTACGGCGTTAGGTGAGTGAGAAACTGAGACAACTTCAGTTCCACGCCACTGCTCTGTTTTCTCTCCAAGCGAGGTTCGTCCACTGCTGCAACGACAGGCCAAGGTTATTTGTCTACTGGTATGCTTTATTCTCTTCACTCTTATTCTCCTCTTTACTTCTATTGACGTCAATCGTGATCGTCTCCTATCTGCCTCTATTTTTTTCTCTCGTAGCTAAGTGTAGTTCATAGTTGATAGCTCTCTTTCACTCTAAAGGAATGTATTCTCTCTTTTATTGAAGCTTCTCTTCCTCCTCCTCTATTTTCCTTCACCCTAGTTCATGATCGATGCTACCCTTGTCCTCCACTCCTCCTCTATGGTTTTGTTCCCCCTTGAAAAGATGGATGTAATGTCTAGTTGTTGGTGCTCCAAGAATGAATGGAAAATTGGAAATTTGGAGTGGATCATTCCACAATAGTTGAATGAAACTTGAGCTTAGTGCTTTTTTGGTTGTGTAAAGACATGCCCATAACAAAAAAATGGACTGTTCAGCTCTTTATTTACAGTCTTAGTGTGAGGGCTCTACCTTTTGAGCTACATTCTCAAAATTTTTAGCCCCATTTTTCAATTTTTGTAGGATCCTACAATCCCAATCCCACTACCCACCCCAAGGATCCATGGTAGTATCCCGATTTAAAGACCTAGATGATGGCATATGATAACGAAGCAATAAAGAACGTAAAGGAATTAAAAAAAAATTGTGGGGTGAAAAAAGCATTAAAAGCCTCTATGGCAGATTATTGATACAAGATGGCACATACTATTGCATAGACCTTTTCATGTAACTTGCTTGTTATCTCAATCCAAGATAAGGTTACGTTATGTAATGTGTATGTCATGTATATTTATCAATTGATTAACATTGATTAAGTACCAAATATATATTTCACTACTCTGCTGATTTAAAGAGGACCATAAGATAAAGATGGGGCTCTACAAGACTAGTCAAAGAATGTGCCTCAATCCTACTTCCAGAGAAAAATTTTGATAGACAGCTGGATGACATTAACGATGCAAAGACGTTTGGAATGCACATGGCAATCCAAATGAGGAATAAGAAACAACTAGATAAGCAATAAAGCATTAGCTAGATTTTAAAACTACACATATGTTTAAAATAGGTACTTCTACTTTTGAAAGCCTTGTGTGGGAATCGTTTGTACGAGGTTCTCCAGGATTGCAACAACTTACCATTCACATCATTACCTGGAATTGAACTGCTATGGGAAATGGGAAAATTGGAGTACATCTGATCCGGTATGAGTCATGAAATGAAAGTGTAAGATACTTTAGTAGTTTAGTGTATTAATTTGTACCAATTTCAAGTCCAGAAACTAGGTGCATTCTAAGAGCAGGAATTGTTTGTACTTTGGAGCAGCAAACATAAGTGTACTTGTGTTAGTGAAGTATAATTGTCAATTGGAGGCAAGGGACCTAAAAAAGCATATTGGAGGGCGATTCCTATGATCTCCTTCTCTTTCGGACATGAAATCCAATAATGAGTGGTTAGGGGCTACTCGAGGTGGGCTCCGACTCCAACTCCAACTTCGATTTTAGTCGGAGTCTCTTTTGTCCTCCGCCTCCAACCTAGTGCCTCCGCCTCCGTCTCTGCTTCGATTCCAATTGGCGGAGTCGGACCGGAGTTCTCAGAGTTGGGCCATAATTGGGGACTGTGGTCACTTTAGCATCTCCCACATTTGGTATCTCCCTCATCTTCCACTTCAATGATTTTCTAATTTATCCGCAAAAGACAAAAATTCTAGATTTCCCCAAAAAATAATTAACAGACATAACCCACAAGAAAATATGGTGCTCTATTGGTTGCTAAACTGATATAGATTTCCCCAAAATGATTCCACTAGTGAACAAAAAAAAAAAAAAGATGTACATACATCTTTCACGCCATATACATGTTTGTAAAACTTGTTTGAATCGGTGCAGATGGGAAAAAAAAAATAGAAATCGAAGAGCCTTCCCTCATCGAAGCAGATCGGAGCTGCAAATAGGGCTTTCGCTATTTAGGTGTGGCTAGGGAGTCGAGGAGAGGGGGGTTGTGGAGTGGTGGTTCTCGTGGAGTAGTGGAAGCAGACAGTGGTCTCTGGTCTCTGGAGGCACAGAGAAGACGGAGTAGCAAGAGACGAAAACATTAGAAATTTAAGGTTAAGGGGTGGAGACTCTCTTATATTTTTATGTTTTTATATTTTATATTTTATATTTTATATTTGTATGTAATAATATAATTTATACTTTAATATATGGGGTCAAAATAAGATTTTTTTTTTTATATTTTGCTATTTTATATTTATATGTAATAATATAATTTATAATTTACATAAACCCATTAATTAATAAAAGTTGGAATCAAAGTTTTTTCGAATAGACCTTCAGACTCCGACTCCAATCGGATTCTTGCACACCCTTAGTGGCTACAGAGAAAGAGGACACAACCTCACCTAAGGACATTATATGAATGAATGTTTATGGATCAAGGACAACAAAAGTAGCAAAAAGAGAAAGAGAGGTAAACACTCTATAATTTGTGTACATACTTTTAATCACCTCATTCCATAATTTGAACATTTATACTAAGAGAATAGTAAATATACCTCACAAAACGTATCCGAATTAATGGAGGAATCTATGATAGCTTGTTACCACAGAACTTATAACCACTTTAACCAACATAAAACTTCAAAGTTTCAAGTAGTGGTAGACTGTCGAGTAGTAGCTTAATTAATGAAGTAAAGGTGTTAAATATTCCTCATAGAGACATTCTAATATATGCCTTCAGCCAAATTCATACATTATGATAATTTCAGACGCGAGTTCAACAAATGGAGACCACATGATTCCCAAAGATTAAACCTAGCGTATATGGCTAGGTTTTTAGTAGCATCTAAATTTTTCATAAATTTATGTCCTGTGTGAGTGAAAAATCCGTTTTTGAGATAGGTGTGTAATAGAAAGCATCATGGAATTCTGAGATCTTTATGCCAAGAATTTCTCAAACTAAAATAACCAAAGAAACAAAACTGAAAAAGTGTGTTGCCTTAAAAAGATCATGCCTAATAACGAAAAAACTAGGCTAACTTAGGTCAATCCCATAAATAGGAGGTATATCTTGAAATAATATGGGTATTTTTGGAAAAAGAAAAGCTAAACACTTGAAGCCCCACGGTACTTTTATGTGCAATAAAGACTCATGCTAGTTTCCATCAGTTTTTTTTTTTAAATGACAACATTTGATGTCCCCGTAGTTTGAGACTTGAATATGATGATGGATGTCATAACATTCACATAAATGTGTTGAAGCGGTGGTGGTAAGTTTTAACCTTTTTTGGTCCTATTCATATCCTTGTCATGGAATTTTGGGTTTTGTAGGAACCTTAATGATAGAGTGTGTACAGAGTTGGTGGACCTTCTTTCTTTGCTTAATGATGTCTCTTTGACCCAAAATTGTTTGGATAACAGATGCTGGACTATTGATTCTACAGTGTATTCTCATGTAAATCCTTATTTGAGTGTTTAATTGATGCTCCTTCTCTTTCTTTGTTTCCTCCAGCAAAGGTGATTGGGAAGCTAGTGTGCCATAACAAGTGCAAGTTTGTGCATGTATAATTGCTCATGCCAAGTTTAACACTTATGAATTATGATATGCTTCAAAGAAGAAATAACCAAAACTTGTCTTCAACCACAACAGTGTGTTATGTGCAAAAAGAATAGTGAGAATGTGGGTCACTTATTTTTACATTGCCCCATCATGTTTTCACTATGGAATAACTTGTTTTACCATATGAGAATTAGTTGGGTGCCACCAAATACTATGTTATCTATGTTTTGCTTAGATGTTATGGTTGGAGGAAGCAATAGAAGATGGAAGATTCTCTTTTCTCTTGGACTGTGCTTTTTATGCTACTTTATGGGTTGTTGATTGGAAAGGAAAGGATCTTTGAGGATAGAATTGAGGAGGTGGAAGGATTATGGAATTGGCTTTACTTTTTGGCTACCTTTTGGGCATACGTAACTAAGGAGTTTGAAATGTTCCTCTGTTTAGCATTACATTGAGTTGGAAAGCTGCATGCGGAATTTAGTTTGTGGTCTTCCAGTTTTTGGTTTCTTTTATATGGTCTTTGATCTGGATATCCTGGCCATCCTTGACTGGCATTGTACCATTTACGTTTATGTTTTTAAGTTTAATAATATTATCATTCTGAAAACAACATTTATGGTAGTTATGATATTAGAGCATGGACTAGCCCAATGACTTGAATACTTGTAACAAAACACGTACCTCTTTCAGCTCACTTTCTTCAAAATCTTCTATCACAGGGACAGAAACATACTTTCCATTTGCAGCCCGCTTGACTCCTTTCTTTTTCTCCTTTTCCACTTTCTCTTCAAGAGGATATTTCACATTATCATGCTCTAGCAAGGATACAAGCTCCTTTCTTATCATCTCATCAGCCTGCTCAATCGAAGTAGGAGGGACAAAGGAGCTCTTATCTTCATCAGCTCTCATCAAAGAATTTTTAATTAGCTCTAATGAAGCAGCAGGAGGTCTGGGGAGCTCCCTTTGCAATACTTTTGATCTCTTCCTTAGCAATGCTTGCAACCTCGCCTCTTCCTCAGCCTTCTCTCTTGCAATCCTGTCAGACATATCTTCTTCAATCTTCTCCTCTGGCTCTTCACTATCTTCTGGAACAGGTTGGACAACTATCTGATACTCATTCTTAGGCTGGGGAAGAGTGCTAAAACCAGAGCGCAGGTTCTCTTTCAACTCAGCTTGTCTTCGACGTTCAAGCTTAGCACCACCATGAATTTCTATATCCTCATTAATGTGAAGCTCATCCCGCATGGGAGTTCCTTTTGGGGTCATACCAAAAGAATAGCCATCCCTTGACGGTGTCATGCCAATTGCAGGAGTAAGACCCATGCCTCCAGGAGTTGCTGAAGGAGTCAACATTGGATTTGGCGTTTGAATATCCATTTTTTTAGGAGTGACCCCTGAAAAATCAGATGGGTGCAATTCAGGGTTTTCTCCTCCTAATAATGGCGTTTGAGATTCTCTCATCCTGGCCGCATTTTGAGCTTCCATCATAATAGCATCACCCTTTCCTGCAGGTGTTCTTTGTGGAGTTCGTAAAGGGGTCATTCCCTGCTGTGGCGTCTGGGAATAATTCGCGAGGAGAGCTCGTGTTGCACCACTTCCTTCTGTGAGCTCCTCACCCGCAAGATCTCCAGCATAACCTAACTTTGCAATTGCCTCCAAATCCTGGTCCCCCATCTGTGGTGCAGGAAGATTCAGTTTTGGCCGCTTTCTAACTGCTTCTGGATCATTAAGCTTGTTAGCTTGCAGAATAGCCGATGGAGCATCTTGCCTCTGTAAAATTTTATTCCTCGCAATATCCTGCTTTCTTAATCGTGCTTCCATATCAACCCTTCTCTCTCCTTCAAGTTCTTCGATGGTTGTCGGGAACTTAGGTTGTTCCAGTGGTCGATCTTCATCAGCAACATCATAAAAGCCTGGAGGAGGCTTCTTCTCAAAGGGGATCTCAGCATTATAGTCAATCCCTCTCCTTTTCCTCCTCCGATGCCTCGTATCGATTCCAGCTGCCTTTAGTTCTCTCCTTTTCTGCAACGAAGCAAGCCTTCTGGCCTCTTCAAGTTGCTTCTCCCTGGCTTTCCTTTTTGCCTTCTTGCCTCTGGTGTTGGCCAACCGAGCTCGTGCTTCTGACAGCATTTCTTTCTCGTCCTCATCCATATCAACAGGGTCAGGACGTGCAGGCTTTGATTCTGGGTTTGGGTCGATCTCTCCAGGACGCAATTTTCGTGGATCATCACCTGGCTCATAGTTTTCATCCTTAGCACACGCTGCATCAAGGAGTTTCTCATAACGTTCAAGGCACTGGGATGGAGTACGGCCAACAATTGGGGCAATTGTTCTCCATTGTGTGGGCATGAGCTTAGCAAGGTGAAGCAGTTTCTCATCTTCTTCTCTGGTCCACTCAGTCTACAAACAAGTTTTTTCATTGTTCCTTGTGTCACAAGTAAATTTTTACAGTGACGTAAATCAGAGCAGAAAAGTAAACACAAAATAAAAACCATATACTGACAACCTCCAGTCCAGAAAACAGAATATGGGGAAAAAAAAATATACGGACAACCTCTGGTCCAGAAAGCAGAAAATGGAAACATGTAAGAAGGAGAAGTACTCATACACAGAAGGTTCTGTAATATCGTAAGATTTATTTTATCACTAGGTTCATTTGCCAAATATAAGATGATTCAAGTGATATCTGATGCAACACAACATAGAAATGCATGCGCATCTGATAATGTCCCCAAGTACACAATGCATTTAATCTTCCTTGACATTAATGGTAGTGGGTGTTGCAACTTGAAACTAGTAAAGTTACTTAAGTATATAATGGAAGAGGACAAGGTTCCTGTCTTAAAATTAATCTTCTGTCTAGTTGCCTAAGTGGGATAAAACCAACTGCACGTAACATAAAATTCTTATTGTTCTTTTTGGGTTTGGAAAAACCGGGGAGGGGGGGTTAAAGAATCTGTACACCCTCACCCAACAAAACTGACAAGTCGCAGTGAGGAAAATTGAGTAGACTAACATTCTCAAAATGCACAGAGAGTGCCATCAGTTAATATTTTAGAGGCGCATGGCTACTTTGATATTGATATAAATGCAGGTAATCAACAAAAGTCGCAATTTTGAAATTTCTCACTCATTTTGTCTAAGATTAATTAGGATAAAATAAGTAACATTTCGTTATGGACTTTTTAGATGGTCCTTGAACAATAACAATCACAATCACAATCTTAACAACCTCTACTCTCTCCCATTCTATTTGCTGGTCCTTACTTTGCCCCTGGGAGCATAGGAATAAAACATTATTTCTTTGACATGATTCAAAAGTCGAATTGAATTGGATAAAACTCCAAAATTGAAAATGGGCCTATACCTTCAACAATGTAAGACAGATGCTCAAACCGAGTGCATATCACAGTGAGATAATGATTCAATCCTTTGACTTATTTTAACTAAATGTTGTCTTCACTTAACTATGACTGTTTTAGTAAATTATATGCAATATTAAAATTGAAAAACATAGCATCGACAATTACTACACGTGGCACAAGAGAAGCAAAACCCAGCATTAGTTATAAGTACCCAACAAAATCTCCACCAAAACCACAAAAGATAACATCAATAGAACCACTAAAACCACAGAAATTAACACAAACATCAAAAATAAGGAGTGTCTAACTATAAATTACTAAATTCATAAAAGAAACACATACCTTCTTGATTGAAGGATCGAGCCACTCGTACCAGCGAGCCTTGCACTGTTTGGCAGACTTGCGAACGAGAAGGGAAGAAATCCGAGCCCACTGATTCTTCCCATATTTCATCACCGCCGCTTTGAGGATTTCATCTTCAGTGTTCTTCCAAACACCTCCTTTTATCATAATCCTCATCTTTGCTTAGATTTTCTTGGTCCCTCAAAGGAGTCCCCTTCTAGCTCCTTTGGTTCTACGTCTTCCTCAGAGAGGAGGACAGCACTGCGGGTTCTCTCTTCCTCTCTCTCGTTGATGCTCGACCGATGCGGCGACTAGCGGCCCAATATGGATCGGAATCTCACTCTCTCTCTCTCTCTCTCTCTCTCCCCTTGCTTCTGTGGGGTGTTGTGGATATAAACGGAATCAAACAGACTTGGTATCGGGAAATGTATCTGGCCGGACCCTCTCTTTATTTCATAGGCTCTTTGGGTTGGGTTTGGGGCAGGCATTTGGGTTGGGTAAAATTTCAAGCCCGATAATTGGCCAGTTCAAAATAAATAGGCATTGTGGTTGAGTAATCGTGACACGGTTCAGTCCATGGGCTGGATCGAAGGCCGGTCCACCAGCCCAGTCGCTAAGACGTCCAAAATTGAAGTTTTTAGGGGAAATTGCAAAGGGTACACAAAATTAGGTTTAATTGTATAAAAGTACACAGTAAAAAATGTAGGGTTCTTAAGTTTTTAATTTTGATACTTATTTGTATCCAAGTACAATATTTGAATTTTCCTGATTTTATTGTGACATTTTTGTCCTTTATTGGTCAATGTGTATTTTTTGGGGGGAAAGTGTTTAGTTTTCAAATTATATTTTTTGGGGAGAAATATAACACTTTTTAAAAAATTTCAAATTTTGAATACACCATTATTTCTAGTTTTTTAAGAGAGAAATATACACTAGTATATTTCTGCATGAAGCCGAGTTTTATGCTTAAATATTGAAGTTAATTGATGCTTCTTCTTCATCTACCTGTAAGCCGATTTTCTTCTTCAAGCCTGAAGTCGATTTTCTACTTCTTCTTTATACACTTGCAAGCCGATGTTCTTTCTTCATCCACATGATAAATATGATATATCATGAAGTCTGAAGGATGAAGAAGCAAAACATTTTTTCCAGCTACAACCTGAAGCCTAACAATTACATAACAACAATTACAAAGTTTGAAGTTTTCATTTTTTTTAGTATGTTAACATATTAACATACTAATGTATAAATGTTTTTTAGTATTTATTTCTTTCTATGTATGTTTTTCATTTGAATTTTGTTGTATATATTCTTTTAATAGTTTGAGAGATTTTGGCAATTGAGGAAATGGTGTTGTTATGTATATACAGTAATGCTACTAAAATATTTAAAGTAGCTGGTAATTCAAATATATCATAACTTGTTCATGAAGTTTGCGAGACGTGGGAAAAATTGTTTAATTTGTCAGTACAGATTTTATTCTTGGTCACCCCTCTTGCATGTTGCGCAATGATGCAGATTTGAAGAATTTAGTTGAATTGAAACGGAGTTTTTCAAAAAATTAAATTGAAGTTAAGGTGTTTGTTGGAGATATTGAGGCGGGTCGGTGGGTGATAATGATTTATTGCAGCATGTGAACATTGATGATGTTGTTGAATGTGAAGAAGATTTGTTACCCAATTTTATTGGTCACAATGAGAAAGTTCTTCTAACAGCTGGGAGTAATGAAATACGGCACGTAAGACAAAAATTTGAAAGTGGTGTGGTACAGTTTCGTCAAGCACTTTACAAATATTCGATTGAGTCTGGTTTTGAATTTAATTATGTAAAAAATTATAAAACATGGGTTATTTCTCAGTGTTTATTTAAGTATTCTTTCTGGTTGTGGGTGACATATCAATGCAACAGTGGAGAAAGCTATTGATTTTTTTATATTAGGAAATTAGACAACAAACACAGTTGTGATGTAGATCTACGAACGACAGATAACAAGAAAATGAGTTCTAAATTAAATACAGATTTGATTGTTGATTATGTGCGTGGGCATAGCAAAACGCATTCAATAGAAGTGGTTACTAATTTTTTTTCTGATTATGATAAAGCATGGGAAAGAGTTGAGAAAGTATGGGAAGCAGTTGAGAAAGCAAAAGTTATACTTTTTGGGGATCATTCATTATCGTACCAACAATTACATTCGAATGTTGATGCGGCCAATTGTACTAATCCGGACAGCCACATTGTGTTAGATTGTGATCATGACACTAATTGTTTCAAAAGGCTGTTTGTTTCCTTTAAGGGTTGTATTTATGGATGACACATTTTTGAAAGACATGTATAGAGATAATCTTCTATCGGTTACAGGAAAAGATGTCAACCAAAATATAGTTTAATACAGTTTTTTGAATGATAAAATTTGTAGTTAAGCTATAATCGTTATGTTATGTTGTTTTTGTTACACTCTGTTTGTTATATTGTTACACTTTCACTGTTACACTATGATACAAACATAGTTAATAGTGAGTATATACACATGGTATAATCAAACACAATTTTGATAATTAACATTCACACACAACAATGTTTTGGAATTACCATTCACCATATTCATCTGTTACACTATTTTTTATTTTAATTTTTCACAAATATTTATGTGCTTCATTTCTAAAGTTTGTTTCCTTTGGCATTTGCTATGGTTGATCCGGAGAATAAAACAAACTAGTATTGGTTTTTAAAACAGTCGTCTAATATATTAGATCAGTTTTGAGTTATTACATTTGTATGATTGCAACTTGGGTCTGTTAGAAGCAATGTCGAAAATTTTTCAAAATGCACATCATGCATTTTGTTTGCAGCATTTGAAAGCTAACTTGCGGGATAAATTGAGTGGGGCTCGTTTTTCCAATTTATTTCGAGAACACATGGTGAGATTGTTACATGAGTGTGCTTATGCACTAACACAATCACTTTTTAATGAGAAGATTAAAGCTTTCCGTCGTGAAGGTGGTTCTAATGTGAACAAGTTCCTGTCCAATCTTTCATATGAACATTGGACAAATTCTCATTTTATAAGGAAGTATTACCGTGATATGTGTTCTAATGTTGTAGAATCGTTTAACGTGTGAATTTTGAAAGCTCGACATTTACCTATTACTAGCATGGTTGACACAATTAGGGGACATATAATGAATCAAATTGGCCAAATGATGAAAATAACTTCGGAATGGAATGGGAATTTTTTTCCTAATATGTCTTCGATATTACAAGCTGCATTTGAATAGGGGAGGTCCTAGACTATGCGGGTTTTGAATGACCAAGTGTATGAAGTGATGTCATATCTCTCGATCACTATTGATATTATGAATGACACGTGTTCATGTTGTCAGTGGCAAATAAATGGGTTTTCTTATTCACATGTGATGTCGGCAATACGAAAGAGTAGGCGAAATATCAACGTATTTGTTGATTATTACTATCATGTCAGCACATACAATATGTCATATTCTAAACCCATTTATTCAATACCAACTATATATCGTGATGAAAGTTCACCTGTAAATGTTAATATTTTGCCACCATCTATCAAGAAGCAACCTGGTAAACCAAAGAATCGTAGAATTTGGTCTAGGGGAGAACTCATTAGGTGAATTCGTTGTGGTCGGTGTGGACGTTTGGGCAGTCACAACAAAAAATCTTGTAACGAGCCGTTGTAGACTAGTTTTAATGCTATCATTTATTTATTTATTTTTCTTTAAGGGGAAGGAGGAGAGAGACTTGAACTCTTGACCTTAAGAAGGCAAAGCCTTTACAAGACAAGAAGTACCATTTGACCAAAGACCCATTTATATTTAAAATATTGTGGTTGACGTTATGGTAATGTTATCATTTAATGACATTGTTCAATGTTTTAAGTTGTTTACAATGTGTTTTTTCACTCCTTTGTTGGGTTTGTTTGTTTTAGCTAATTTTTCACAGTGTAAGTTATATATTTTTTTTTATAGATTAGTCTGTATACAACCCACATTGGTTTGTATAGTGAATTAACACACTGTTGGAACAGTGTGTTGGATACATGTGAAAGTGTTACACTTTGAATGTTGCACTATTACATTTTCTATGTTACACTTTGACATGGTCTTGATTAATCAACAAGGAATAAACACTTGCATCCATGCACAATTTGGATAATCACCAATCACCACACAACAATGTCACAGAAACAAAATATGTACATCCATGTCTCATGGTACACTACTGTTCATTTGTTGAGAAAGTGTGAAAGTGTTATACTTTCAATGTTACCCTGTTACACTCTTCTATTTTATATTTTGACATAGTCTCAATTAATCAACAAGGAATAAACACATGTTTCCCTGAACAGTATGTATAATCACCAATCACCACAATATCACACAAACAGAATATGTACATCCATGGCTCCTCTTACACTAATAATCATTTGTTGTCAAAGTGTGAAAATGTTACACTTTGAATGTTACACCATTACATTTTTTATGTTATACCTTGACATGGTCTTGATTAATCAATAAGGAATAAACATCTATATCCTTACATAGTCTGGATAATCACCAATCACCACTCATCACACAACAATGTTACACAAACAGAATATGTACATTCATGTCTCATCTTACACTAATGTTCATTTGTTGAGAAAGTGTGAAAGTGTTATACTTTCAGTGTTACCTTATTACACTTTGGCATGGTCTCCATTAATTAGTAAGGAATAAAACACATGCATCCCTGCAAAGTCTGGATAATCACCAATCCACACTCACCACACAACAATGTCACAAACAGAATATGCACATCTATGTATCATCTTACACTAATGTTCGTTTGTTGAGATATTGTGAAAGTGTTACACTTTCAATGTTACCCTGTTACACTTTAACATAGTCTCCATTAATCAACAAGGAATAAAATATATGTATCCTTGCACATTTTGGATATTCACCAATCACCACTTACCACACAACAATATCACACAAACAGATGTCTCATCTTACACTAATAATCAATTGTAAAGTGCATGAGCAATGAAACTTTGTTATTTATTTGCAAATTTTTGCTTCAATTTCCTACGAATTTTTAGATCTTCTTCACTCCAAGAATTTGGATGGTTGAGAAACAATTATACCATTTTAACTTGGAACTCGGTCAGCTTTCTTGCTGTTAATCTCTCCTCAATCTCTTCTCCTTTTGTAAGTTTTTTCATTATATAACATACATGCAAACCATATGCAACCCTGTATTAACTCCAATTGTTAATATGTTTCGATGTTTTTTAAAAACAACGATTGCATTTGAACAACGAGTAGTTACGAATTTGACTTTTGCTGTGGAC